GCAGTCCATGTTTTTAGAATCCGCGTCACATGTGGAAGGGATACGCAAAGCAGTTCACCGGTCACCACAAGCAATGCGACGTCTCAAAGCGTCCATTGCAACTCATGCTCCCCGAACCACGCACGCGGCTGCCGGGCCCCAGCATCCTGGCACGCCATACTCAAATCACAAAAGCAAGCCAAGCAGAATCTGTGGCCAAATTTCACGATCTTCAGCGAACAAGAACTGCAATCCGTCGTACAACACAACGGGCCGAGCTGCGCATACCCAGCTGTTACTTGCGCCGAGGTTGCAAGTGAATCTCATCTGGGACCAGCCTGCCTAACACCCTCTAGGTGACGCTTTTCAGAGCCTCAAGAGGCCGCGGCGGGCGCTTCCGCGGCTGCGGGAGCCTGCCGGCAAAGACGCCTCCCGGCCCTGCCCCTGTAAAACCCAGCAGCCCTGCAATGCGGGCCTCTGCCGCAGGCTCTTCCGGGGCCACCTCCGGCACTACGCTGCTGCGCTCCACCAGCTCGGTGAAGGACTGAAGGACCTCGGGAGCCGCAGAATGCTCACAACATGTCAGCATTGCAATGCCACGCAACGCTTTACCCAGACCTAAAGACACTCTCTGATCCAGGCGAGTCCACTTCTTGACATACTTACAATGACTTACACTATGCTGAACAGTGGTTCTTATAGGCAACGTCAGGATGGCAAGAACGTCTGTCCGGCCAATCAGATGCTGTAGGTCTAAGCAGGAGGCTCCTGTCTTGAAGTCCTCCAAGCTCTCCTGGCCCAGAGAATTTCTGGAGCCTTACTGGAGGCTCCTGGATGCAAGATGATGAAAGTCCTTGTTGCTCTTGAGCTCCGCTGCTGTGGCCTTCATCTCCGGACCAAGGGCCTCAGAAAGGCGATGGGCTGAGACTGGCAGTGACTGGCACACCTCGCAAACATCGAGTTCCTGACCTTGAGAGCTTTGGCCGCCGCCTTTTCGGCGGCCACTGCTGCCTTCTGCGCCTCCACTGCAGCCTTCG